GCCTGAGGGCCCAGATGTAGAACTCCAAGCTTCTTCTCAGCACCGCGTCTGCCTGCACACTGCCACGCTTCCTGCCATGAAAATAATGGACTGAACCTCTGCACTGTAAGCCAGGCCCGGTTAAATACTTCCCCTTACAAGAGTTGTTGCGGTCATGTGTCTCTTCACGGCGACAGAAACCCTAAGTAAAACAGAAGGATTTTGGTTTTGGAAGATGGGAAACTGGATTAGACAAATTCTTTTGAGAAGGTTCTAGTCTAGTGGGAGAGACAAAGAGTGACATAAATAATTACCAACGATACTGCAGCAGCTACAGAAAAGCACCAGAAATAGAAAGGAGTAGAAGGGAAATACAGAAACAAAACCACCTGCTGACTTTGCACACCTGACTCTAGACATTTAAATAGATGATTAACAAGAAGGAACGGGGTGGAATTTGGCTCATTTAGCAGAGTTCTCCCCTAGATCCTCAGAGGAACATAAACCAGGTGTGATGGATGTTTCACACCTGTAAACCTAGCACTTGGAAGATAGAGGTGGGAAGATCAGAACTTTAAGGTCAGCTAAATGTGTGAGTCCCACTTGGGCTACATGACACTATCTGAAAACAACAGCTAAGTTTGTTAAGAGGGGACAGGGTTGGGAAAGATGATTTAGAGGTCAAGAGCACTCACTGGAGGCCCTTGCAGAGGACCCAAGTTCAGTTCCCAGCACCACGACCATCAACTCTGTCTCCAGGAGGATCTGACACCCACTTCACAGTCACTGTATGCACATGATGCACACACATGTGTAACACACAAAAATAAAAGACCCAGGGACAGATATTGGGGTTCAAGCTGAAGATCAGAGAAGCAGAACAGACAAGCCCTTAGCTCTCACCTCTAGCTCAGGCTGAAAAGGCTGATGCTATCTCCACAGCTCTCACCAAGCCTCAGACTACTGCCTCTCCTCACTCCTGTGTCTGCAGAATCCATGCCTGAGACTAACTGCTGAAGACCCCGCTCCTATCGTTTATAACCCGCTAGTGCTGGGATTAAAGGTGTGTACCGCCACTGCCTGGCTTCTACAGCTAACGAGTGTGGCTGCTTTGCTATTTTGATCCCCAGTGGTTTTAACAATACATCACCACACACATGTGTATAATCAAAATACCCATCCACACAGAATACATGGGCAAAGTGTTGTGGTACCCAGGAGGTGCCAGATGCTAGGATCAGCTTCTCAGAGCTACTTTCATGCACCTGACCCTCCGATGTCCGTCATTTCCAGTGACCTCTCCAAGAGGAGAGTATGTACATGCGTACATACTTACATGAGTAAACGGGCAGCACAAAGGCAAGTCCATGTGATGAGCTTTTATTATGAAGGTGGCTGCTGACTTGATTGTCATCCTACCCCTCAACACACTCTCACTCACACTCACACACACACACACACAACCCAAAACCTTTCCATCTAACTTAAAAAGAAAAGTGGAAATGTACCTTCTCAAGGCATAATATTCACAAACATAATAATTTAAGGGGCTACTGGTAACCAAGCCCTCAAAATCGACTTCCCTCGAAGATGCTGGAGGTTTACGTCAGATGGCTGTTGCCCTTCCTTGGGCTTTAGAACTTGTGTTCCTCGTGTCTCACGCTTAAGTACACTAGCTGAGGTGCCTTAGCTGGCTAGTTCTCTGGACTGCCTTGCATGAGTCAGGAGGAGGAAATATTCCACGTGTTCCTTCCTGAGTGACAAGTGTCATCTGTCACTGGATTAGCTTGGGTTCCTAAGAGAAACGTGCATGTCTATCAGTGTAGCCACTGAATTTAAGGTATTCAGCTCACAGTTTGGGATTCAAGGGAGGCAGGCCAATCTGATACCCACAGTGTCTTAATTCCCAGTCTCTTGGGATGGCCTCAAACTTGCTATGTAGCCAAGGATGCCTTCTGATCCTGCCTCCACCCCCTCAGTGTCTGAACCAAAGACATTCCCAAAGGTGAACCTGTTTCAGCTTGCTTTCTGTTGTTGTGATAAATACCGTGACCAAAAGTAATCTGGGAGGAAAGGGTTTGTTCATTCTCACAGTGCTTCATCTAGAGGAACTCAAAGGCGTTGGAAGCCACAGAGCAATGCTGCATACAGGCTTGCTTCCTGGCCCATCCTCACCTACGTTTCTTATACAGCCCAGGACCACCAGCCTGCGGATAGACAGGGGTAGGCCTACCTACATCTAATAGGAATGACCGTAGACATGCCCTAAGGCCAACCTGATGCCATCATTTCTTCAGCTGAGGTACCCTCTTCCCAGGTGTTAAGTTCACGGCTAAAGCTAACTACAACACAAGCCCGCCATCAAAATTAACCTCCACACAGGGGATAGTTAACAGGTGGGAAATGCTGACATTTGGTGCTGTTGGCTTGATCTCCAACCAGCAGAGGAAGCCAAGCAGGCTGCAAATTTCAGGCAGGATTTCTGTTACAATCTACTGGCCAAGTTCCCAGGAAACTTAGCTGTGTTCTTAGGGCTTCAGCTGATAGGGTAAGGGACACCTAACAGAGGGCCATCTGCTGTCCTCAGAGCTCACTGATCCAAATAGCTGAAAGCTCTTTAACAATATGGCCCCATAGACACACAAACTGCCCATCAAGGTTCTACTCATGTGGAACGTAGAACTTGACTCATACAGTTGGTTTCCACTCTGATTTCTATCTCCTCTGCTCACCAATTAAGGAATGAACTCATGACCACAAGATCAGCCAAGAGCTCTTAGCCATTATCTCATGATTGGCCATCTGCACAATAGGATGTTTCCTTCTAACTCAGTAGATGCCAGAGATTAGAGCAGGGATCACCTGTCCCCAGGATGAAGGAATCTTTAATGACAAATGGTTACTAGGTTATATAACTACCTTTAAGCAAATGCAATTCAGTTTTGTTTTAAACATTTCAGCTTTGAAAATCGGGGACTAGATCCATCAAGAAAGGAACAGCAGAGGCCTGGAGAGAGACTCCATGGTTAAGAGCACAGCCGTATCTGCAAAGTCCTAATTACACTTCCACTACCCAAATAGCTGCTCACAGACATCTGTAACCCCAGGGCCAGGGGATCCAATACCCTTTCCTGGCCTGTGGGCCCATGCAATACAAAGGCATGCATGCAGGAAAAACACCCAGACACATAAAATGAAAATAAACAAGAGTGGAATTGTTTTTTTTTTTTTTTTTTTTTTTTTTTCATTGCATTTTAAAATCCCCTGGTAACCCTGGCTTTGGGGGGAAACAGCCATGGATTTCCTAGGCAGTAGCTAGAATGCCCAAGCAGCGGACAATTCATGGGTCAGCATCTACACCTACCTCTCCATGAGGTTCCTGGCTTCAGGACGCAAATTTGACTCATGTCAACATTCTAAATGAGGTCAGGCACAGATAAGTCACGTGTCATATGTGGGGTCAGACCCTTGATTAGGAGAATGTGCTCAAGATCAAGTTAAATCAGCCTAAGTCCAATCCTAAGTACTTCTTAAGTCAACACAAAGGGCCACTTCAACCCCGAAGGGGACGCCTATCTCTTCCCATCCTCCTCATCATGCCTGCAAGTGTGTCACCACCCTCAGCAATGTCAGGGCTCCTTGTCATTCTTGAGGGAGCGCAGCATCGACATTGTCAGAAAGGGCAACAACTTTCCCAATTCCCAATGTATTTTTTTTCTCTCCCTCCATGTTTCTTTGGTTCTTCAGTTCTGGGCTATGTCCTCGACATTTACATGTAACTCCGTTAGAGGTCTTAACAAGGGCCAAGATTTTCACAGGTTAATAATGTGTGCTGAGGTCATTTAACACATGACACTTTTAAGTTCAATTTATGTTACTTAAAAAAAGAAAGAAAAGACCTTTGGTTTTTGCTACACCTTAATTTGAATATGTTCTTCACAGCAGGAAGCCTTCGTGGCCAGATAGAGGGCTGTGGCAGCTAAGTGGTGAGGACCCCAGTAAGTCAGCAGACATGGAGACCTGCACTTAACCCTTTCCTCCTCGTGTCTGAGGTCCCAGCCCATGAGATGCTGCCACCCAAACTCCGGGCAGGTCCTTCTGCTTCAGAATCACCCTCTGAAAAGCCCTCAGACACAGCCATGTTTGACACTGACCATGACAGCAATAGTCTTGCTGTGCAACACCGAAAAGACAGGAACAAAATGCTGTAGCCAGGGGAGACTGTTTGCTTGTCCAGTTTACTTATGTGTGCCTGTGCTAGGGGTGGTGAGAACATTCTATGGTACACACACTGAGGTCGAAGGACACGTGTGGGAGTCAGTTCTTTTCCCTGAACCAGGTCAGTCCTGGGGATCAAATTTAGGTCCTCAGGCTGGGCCATCTCACCAGCCCATCTCATCTCTTGCTCCAACACTTGAGATGAAGACATCGAGACTCCCCGGTTGTGTGGTTTCAGGTCTCCCAGTGACCTCAGACCTCGTCTTCTTGGTCCAAAGATGCGCTCCCGACATAACAGAACTTCACACATGCAACCTTGCTGGTTTCACAACAGGAGACTGACGATGTTTTTCAGTTGTTTTATTGGTGGCCGGGAAGTGCCCACAGTCACAGAGCTGAAGAACCCTGCCAACAGTGAAGACTTTGCCTATTGCCGACAGAACACGACCACTCTGGGTCCTTAGCGCACACACAGTGCTTGACAAAGATGGCTGTGGTACAACAAAGCCACTTTCAAATGCCTGACTGTTTCTACACACCCTTCAAAGAATGAGGTAGTTTCCTTTACCTACTGCCCACCACCACGTCAGGTCTTCATCCCCTTAAATCCTTTCAAGACCGTCTAACCACGTTCCCCTGTTCCGGGTCTCTCTCTCTCTCTCTGCCTGAGAAGCTGACCGGGGCCTTCCTTGCGGTGGTGCCATTCACCGGATGCTGATGCAGGACTGGCTAACACACTATTGTTCAGTAGACTCCGTCCGCCCCCACCCACAATCTCTGATGTCAAAGCTCACTATGCTTACTTGCTCTCAGCCACCAAATCCGCCAGGCGTGACAGCAAAGGGGGCACAAAGCCCTTGCCTGTGAGGGTCAGGCTTCCTCTGTGTAGTCGTGACTGCCGGGACATGCTGTGGGATCGTTCCCTACCGGGCGTCAGCAGAGAACCATCTACAGGTGTGAAGATCTGGACCAGCTGGCTAGTTTAACCTTGACACGGCCTTGCTGTCTACGCTCCTGAGGCGGAATCAAGATTGAACTCGCAGCCTCGGCCTCGGCCTCGGCCTCCGTACGTGTCTGGAGCGAACTGATTACATTAGAAAGAAGGTATCACCCCGTAGCCCAGGCTACACTAGAACTCAATCAGTAGTTCAGGCTGGCCTAGAACTCACAGCAATCTTCCTGCACCATCTGCCCAAGTCTTTTTGGGACCTGACATTTTAACTGCAGATAACTGAAAGCAGGCCTGTATTCCTGGGAAGGATACCAGAGCCAGGGGGACTGAAGAGCTAGCTAGCTCCATCCCGTTCCCAACCCTAAGGATGACTTCCAGACCCTCATGAAACCAGCCAGAGGGGATAGAGGCACGGTGCCTTCTCTTAGCTGTAAGGTACAGAATGTCCAGATCTGTTGCCCTTCACCAAGGAACAGGAGCAGTGGTGGACAGGACTTGGAAGGAAGAAACAGCCAGTCTGGTCGTCACTGCTCATTTGGCTTTAGAGCTTACACACTGGTGCTTATCCAACCGGACACCAGCAGTAAAGGGTTTCCACACAACGGGACCCCTAGGTCACAAACACAAAGCTCAGTCCTAGCATCAGCTGGAGTGGCCCCCTGGTGACACTTAACTGTACTTTGGCACAGACCTGGAAGGCCAACGTTTCTGGGCCCTGGCCGAATAAAGGAGGCTGCCACGAGCAGCGTGAAAATAGTTTGCACCCGCAATGCCCCTCCTTCTTCTCCTGACCCTCCATCTGCCCTCTTGTTCTCACTCCGTGACTGCTACCTCGTGTCCTCACCACGGGGCAATGAGCTGCAGGCAGTCAGCACACTACACTGCAGCTCTCCCATTGCGCGGCTCCAGTCCTCAGGGTCTCCGTGCAGACGTAACCGAACATTGTACCAAGGTATCCAAGCTCCAACATCAAGTCTGGCCTGAGAGCTCAAAACACGCCCAGTAGGCTCTAAAGCACACTTTGGTTTCTATGACTGAATTTTATGTTTTCCTCTTTATTCCTGGCGGGCGGGGGGGGGGGGGGTCCCTATTCAGCTCTGGCTATCCCAGATCTCATTCTGTAGATCATACTGGCCTCAAATTCAGAGAGACCAGCCTGTGTCCTACCTCCTGAGTGCCGGGATTAAAGGTCCACCACACCTGTCCTGATTTTCATGATTTTGTCACGTATTAAAGCGAGTATGGCCCCATGGAGTTATTACCCACAAACACTACTACGCGGTCTTCCTAAGTTTCATGACCAACCTCTCCAAAGTAAACAGCCCAGAAGACACTATTGAACACACACTAAGGGTCAAAGGTCCTTGATTCCATCCAGGCCTTTGAAAGGAGCTTTTCGATAATAATTTAAAAAGGAAAAAAAAAAAAAAAAAAAAAAAAAAAAACCTCTTTGTAATATTTTAAATGGCTTTGTTTTTATATTCAAAAACCCCAAGTTCTAACTTCCCGAAGCAGCAGAAAAGACTTCCTTACAAAGAATGACACCAAACGCATTTTCAACAGAGCTGTTTTTCAGAGGTCCCCCACGCCGCCTGCTACCTTTACATCTAAAGTTAGTCCCAGTTATCAGCCCACACACTCCGTGAGGTAATGTTTACATGCTATTTATTCCCTATGTGAACTCCGTACCCCGTTGCTGGCTGTGGGAGGTGCACACTGTGGCTGTGCCTCTGTCCAGTTAATACATGGTCCATGAAGCCACTCTCTGGGTCCACTGCCCGGAGCTGCCGTGTTTCATACTCATAAGAAACCCACTCGGCAAGGAAGGGTCCTTTGCTTTAACACAGCAGTTGATGCTGGGATAAGTGAGTCTTGAAGAAGGGGTAACTGCCTGGTTACTACGAGACCCTCTTGCTGCATGACGCCCCGGCAATTAAATCAATAGTGCACAAGGAGAAGGGGTTTCCAGATGTTTCTTTTATGCCTACTAAGAAGTCATTTCAAAGGTTGGGCTCCTGTTACTTCAGTAAGAATGGCAGACAGCCCTCTGTATCAGACCTCCGGTTTGTTTGTTTGTTTGTTTGTTTAAATGTATGTCCTGCCTTCTTTTAATAGAGTCGGATGAAAAGCTCAACAGGTGTTTATGTAAGAGGTCAGGACTGTGTCCTCTAAGGGTCACACAGGCCACTCTTTATGTAAGAGTCCATACATTCTCAGGCCGTCACACGGGCCACTCTCATTTAGAAATGAGACTCAGGGCAGCCAAGTCATCTCCCTCCTCAGAGGACTCGGTCTGGCCACTCTGGGCTACTTGGCAGCTAATACACCTCCAAGTCTCTAGGAGACATATACTAGAGATGAGGTCAAAGGGTGTGGGAAGCCAGAAGCATCTCTTGGGATGCCACCTCGTGAGCATGTGCAGGAGAGGGTGGAGAGCCACCTTCACCCAAGACTTGTGATGGCCAAGGGAGAGGCCACCTAATACATATTTCTACCACCCCCTTCCCCCATTTTCTTATTGTCTCTGTCTAAAAGGCTGGAACCAAAGTGTCGTGTGTGCTTAAATGTCTCCAAATGTCCTCCCCCGGGGACTCTGAAGAGACCCAAGTTCATCAGCCATGGAAGCCAAGGAGCCACGGTGCTATGGATGAGCACTGGCTTTACAAGGCTGAGTGCTTTCTATCAGGACCCGACTTCCTCCTGAATAAACTGGGAAATGAAAGAACCTTTCACTCACCGCTCCTAAACAAGGAAAACACTGTCTGGAATTATCCTGTTGCCTAGCCAGCCAGGTACTCATTAATGCTCACCCAGGACAATCGTACAAAGTGTAGATTAAGATCAAGATCCAGAGTGTACCTCCCCAGCTACCCCTCTATTTGGCATACAACACTTAATGTACAGCATCTGCGATTTCCATGTGGTTGGTGTTTCATCATGAATTCTGTCCAGGGTGACTGCTTCAGCTCCGAGATAATCTTAAAATATAAGATGGCCCTTCCAATGACGTCGTAGGAGTCCATGGACCACAAAGACAGCATAAGGTAACGCTGCTACATGCTGCCGGAGTCAGCCATGACTTCCAAAAGCGTTTCAGCACGGAGAGACAGAAAGTGACTCCTATGCTCATTTTTATAGTAAACTCGTACTGAACGTGCCGGGCTCTGAGGATACAAAGACCTAGAAGGCACAGGACCCCCGTCTCACCTCATAGCAGCACAGTGAGCAGCCAGTTATAAAGATATGTAAAAAAAAAAAAAAAAAAAAAAAAAAAACAGAGCTTGAGCCTCACAGACACCGGAAGTGAGACTGTGCCGAACCACGACACCAAGAAGGGACAGAGCCCCCTTAGCTTGGAAATCCAGGTGACCAAATTTTTGATTAAAAGACAGAAACAAATCAAGGCATGAGAGTCACATTTGCCACCCAGCATTCAGAAGGCTGAGACAGGAGCCAGCCAGGGCAGACATTAGGGGATACCAGGCCAGCCAGGGCTACCTAGGGGGCGCAACTCCCCACCCCAAAACAGAAACCTCACCAGGAACAATCCCGAAAAGCCGCGCTGAGGGTACCCCGAGCCACCGGTCTGCCACCTGCGGAATGTCCTCAGACGGTCCTTCCACACATACAGACATCTCATTGGCAGGAGAACCCTACCTTCTACGAAGGGACAGACATCTGGATCTTGTGCAGGACAAGGGGATGCATTCATCACTACCTTTCCAGAGAAAGCTACAGTAAGCAATCACTACCATGTTTATACAGCTGACATTTGACACTGGCAATCACTGCGTGTTCACAGGTGACGTTTGGTGTTGGCAATTTTCTGTGGCTCAAGGAAAAACCCCAACTTGGTAACACATGAACACTGTAACTACAATATGCAAAGCTACTAACAGGCGGGCATGGCTCAGGGCAGAGGTCTGTCTTCTGTGGTACGCCATCAACACACTGAGTTCTCCATCAGGGTAACACGACTGTCCAGTCGCTCTCCACCCTTCCGTACTATGAGAAAAGCACAAAGAAACGCGTTTCAGTGTGAAACGACACCAGCAAACCCTCACAAACCCCAGCAGCTGCAAATATACGATGGGCTCATTTACCGCACCAGAGGGAGGGCTCGGCCATTGAGACCACATACTGACTTCCAGAGGACCTGGTTGTCTGCTTGCAAATGTCTCGAATTCCAGCTCCGTGGGATCCAGTGCCCTCTCTGGCCTCTGTGTGCACCAGCACTTACAAGTACACACACCTCCACCATCCCCATACACACATAATTGAAATGAAAATAAATCTGGTAAATCAAGTGTGTAATCTCAGCACCTGGGAGACGAAGACAGGAGGGTCCTACAGGAGTTTAAGGCTAGCACGGGCTACACGAGACCCTGTCGCAATCAATAAAATGAAAATGGTCTTAGTGTGAGCCTGTAGCTGTCCTTTCCCATCCCACAAAGCAAGAGCTCTTTGCTCACACTGCTTTTCCAGAGCACGAGGCCCAGGCTCAGCCGCCCTGAGGCAGATAGAGCAGTGTCCAATACCCATCATGTTAGGAAAAAGAATCTGACACTTGCCCGGATGTGATGTCAGAGGCTCTCCTTCAATGGTTCTGGCTTAAAGACTTCCCCAGAGTGCCGCTACCGACTGACCGACAGCAGAACTTCTAGGGTGTGCGGCTCGGTCACTGGGCTATTCCCTGCTCACTTAGGACAATGGAGCCACCCAAGCTGCCGGGGAGATTGCCACCTGCTAGTCTCAAAGACCAGACCAGCGTCGAATCCCTAAAACTGTGAGCTAGACAAGCCTTTTCTTTTTATAACGTTACTAGCCTCGAGGATTTCATTTTAATACTATGAAGCCCATCAATGCCACGTTATTCAAGACACTTTTCCTGTTTCAGAATACGTACATACTTAAGAGTGACGTGTGATTCGGTTTAAGAAAATGTATCTTGGCATCTCATTCCCTCTTTCAATGAAGAAATATTACTAACTGCATTCTCCTACCCTAGACCCTACTCCAGCACTAAAACAGGGGACAAATGTATGACTGATTATAACGGAACTTCATCCGGGGTCTCGGGTGGCTCAAGAGGTATTTAAAGGTTCCCACAGGGGCTCAGGTCTAGCCTGGTTTACACTGTGAGATCCTGCCTCAAAAACAAACTCAGTGATAAAAAGTCCCCACAGGGGATGAACACTGAAGGACAGCCATGACTCCATAAGGCAACCAAATTGTAGGGGGCTCAGCAGAGACAGGTAGCATCGAGGAGACTCAACCTAAAGAACGGAGGCTGGGAAGACTAGGGTGGGCAGAAAGACAAGAGCAGACAGCAGGCCAGCATTGCCCAAGTTTACCTCGGCTTCTGTAAAAATCCAGGAGCGCCTTTCCTTGTTGGTTATAAAAAGAAATGAGGGGTTTGGGGGTGGGGGGGATCCAAATCAACCAAATCTCCCCCACAGCAAAGGTATTTATAGGAATCTAGCACCCAGGACCAGTGTGAATAACGGGCCCACGGGACAAGAACTCAGCCTGGCATGGGGGAATACAGGCATTGAGTCAGATCTGAGGTTTCAGAGATTCCCCCTGGGTCACCCTGGCAAGAGCCTTGGTTTCTTTCCCTTGTTTTTTGTGGTTTCTACGCTTGTCTTCAGTTTTGCCGAACACTCTGTAGGAAAACATCATGTTTCCATGTAACACCCAAAGAGATCAAATGTCAAACATGACATAACACCATCCCTTTTTTTTTTCCTTCAGTAATTACTAAAATTATTTTTCTTGGAAACAGACAAGCTGGGCGCTTGGCTAACAGCACCAATTTGCCATCTTGTAAGAGGATAATTTGGAGACTTGAGGACACACGCACAAAGTAAGTGAGGGAAAAGATGAGGTTTTGATTACAGGTGGTCCGTCCCGTTCTTAACAAGCTGGGCTATGTATGTAGGGGACTCCTGCTTCATGACTGACTCTTAAGCCACTCCCCGGGCTCCTGTGCCTTCCCCCTCAGTCTCTGCTCAGTATGGGTCCTGAGCGGATCGCTGGGCTTTTCATTTGTTTTTAAAGATGGACTCTCAGGTAGCCCAGGCTAGCCTCAAATTTTTTTGCAACATATCTGATGGCCATGAACTTCTGATCCTCCCACCTCTGACCCCAAAGTGCTGAATTGTAGGCACGCACCCAAAACACCGCTGCTGGTTGTACCTGTCATGCTACATCCGCCGCCCAGGCTGGATTCATGAAGTCAAGAAAACGTTCTGGTTTTCTCAAATGTCCTACCATGAGTATCTTTTATTATTTTTTTTTCTTTTTCCATCGTGGGTGTGTGTGTATGTGTGTTGTACATGTGTATGCATTTCTATGTAGGGTCTCTCAAACAAACCCAGCGCTCACAGATACGGTCGTCTTACTAATCACGTGCTCTGGGGACCCCATGGTGCTCTTCCAGAAGCTGGAATTACCAGCTGGGTTGGCATATCCGTCTAGCATTTATTTGTATAGGATTCTGGAGACCTGAACACTACGGACAGCAAGCATTTCGGTCACCTGTCCTCTATATCCTTCTTCTCTATCTAAACATTGTCTTTGAGGCAAGTCTCACTATGGACCCCTGGTGGGCCTGAGCTCCCTATGTAGACCAGGCTGGCCTTACACCCATAAATTCCCCTGCTCATACCTCCCAAGCACTGGGACCAAAGGCCGTTCTCCACCTCACCAAACTTCTTATGAACATGAGCCCTAAGGCGGGTTTGCCTGTAATGTTTCCTTTAATTTTTACTTCGTGTACCTGAGTGTTTTGTTGCACGTATGTGTGTGTACCGTGTGAGGGATGCCTCAGGCACACACACATACCAGGGAACCAGATCTCAAACTCGGGCTGTGAGCTGACTTTTGGGTTCTGGGAAATGAACCCAGGTCCTCTTCAACATCAGTAAACGCTCTTAACCTCTGAGCCATCTCCCAGCTGACCCCCAACCCCAGCTGGTAAAAATGTCTACCTGGATATCAGCCAACATTCCCAAGATACGGCTTGCAAGCTTGGGACCATTCTCCATTGTTGGAATGTGCAGCATCTGCAGAAGGGAGAAAGTGGTCTGAGGGTATGAAGCACACATGCATGACAGGAAGACATGCAGCATCCTGTAACATGAAGGCAGCTCTGCTAGGAGGCACCCAACATACCCGTCACACATACTGCCTCCAACATCTGAGTCTTTCCTGCTCAGGATTTAAGTAAAAACCAGCCAATCAGTGACAGCATGTTCATTTCCTACCAACTCAATCAAGGGCACAAAAGGCTGGAATGCCATTCTTGGGGTGGTCTAAGGGACTCAGGAGACTAGCAGGGTCCCTAAGACAGCAGATGAACTCAACCCAGGGTTCTAAGAATCCACAAGGTGAGTGGTCGCCCTCTGCTGAACCCTCTGGCCAGAAAGCACAACTCAAAGATATTTTGCAACAAAAGAAAAGTCATTTCAAAGGGATAAATTAAAGTAAGTCTCATCTCCATTCACAAAAGAGGTTTCTGAACCTGTGTCTAGGGCATGGCGTACCTCCAAGGGCTACAACTCCCATGGGAAGGCAAGGTTAAATTCATAGCTGAAAGAGATTTCATGCCCTTAGTCTGTATCTGAGCCATGCCCGTTCATGCCTTGCTGGCTGGCGGGCGGGCTGGCTTTTGAAGCTTTGATTTTAGTAGATAGCTCGTATTCTCAAACACTCTTCGTATTATACCTTTTAGTATAATAGGATAATTACGACCCCTTTGGGCTCTGAATGTCTCCCAAAAGCATTTAGGAGAAGCATTAAAAAGAAGTTAACCTTTGTAAACTTTTTATTTCTAGAGTGGAGCAACAACTGGATTTAGTTACTAAAATGGACCAATATCCATGTAGATGTTGACATAAAATACGCAAACTTGCCCCTTACAATTTTTTCTTCCTCTCTTTGCATTTCTCTATCCCTCTCAGGCACATAAGCCCCCCTCCCGTCTCTCTACCACATGGACATAAGACCAGGTAGTTCATCTACAAGGAATAATCTGTAATAACAATAATAATAGTAACAATCCCAACCAGCTGAGATTGTAAAGATGAATTCACAAACCAGAAGAATTTACATTTAACAAGCCATCTGAAGCAGTTAAGTCTCACAGGAATAACAAGCATACACCTACAGAATTATGCCTACACAGTTACAGACTGCCTGTACTCCTAGAGTAATGTCTACAGTTACAGACTGCCTGTACGCCCATAGAGTAACAATTATACATCTATGGAATGCCTGTAAAATCATTCTATCTTTGCACTCTAAAGATAGAGGTGGGCAGATGTGCATGAGGATTGGATTTAGCTATACAAGAAAACCTTCCAAATGGCAAGATAATGCGTATGTGGCACAAGCAAAATTGGATCAATAGGGTCTGGAGGGATAGCTCACTGGTTAAGAGCACTGCTGCTCTTTCAGAAGACCCAGGTTTGATTCCCAGCACCCACACAGTGGCTTACAACCACCCTTAATAGCAGCTGGGGCCTCCAACGCCCTCTTCTGGCCTCCACAGACACTGCATACACATGGTACACAGACGGACATGCAGACAAAATACCCACACACATGAAATAAATCTGCTCTTCAAAAAGTAGACCAATGTAGTTAGTAGAGAGGGGTAACTATCTTTTTCCTTACAACTAAATCCTCGAGTTGCTTCAGAAGATCTGAGTGAGCACAGCGTGCAACACTTGGATATCTACACAGCGCCGACAGCAGCAGATGGAAGATGGACAATTCTCAAGTGCACGTCGTAGCTGTAGACACGCCACTCCTCACGGAGCGCCCCGGAACCAGAACCCTGAAACCCGGCTACCTGCTGTGCAGCCTACCTCAGCAGGTGGGCAGAACCGGGTGAACGAGGAAGGTCCTCGGCACTGCCCCGCATTCACCAAGGACAAGGCTGACTCATGCCACGTATGAACGTCCACTAAACCACCGGGCACACGAAATGCTGTGCCAGCACAGGTCCAGCCAGCTCGAATTTCCCTCGTTCATTTTAAAGCTACAGGTGAATGCTTATGTCTTTAAAAGTCCCATTCATTCACTCACTCGCTTATTGTGAGTTTCAGGCAGAGTGAGGGCACTGGCAAGGTCAGAGGTCAGAGGTAAGCTAAGCTTCCAGAGTCCGTTTGTCTCCTCCCGCTATGTGGGTCCCAAGGACCAAAACTCAGGTGTTCAGCCTGGATGACAAGTGTCTTCACTGCTCTACCATCTTGCCAACCCCGGGGGCAAAAAACTAACGTTAGGAATGAGTGACAGAACTGTTTGTCTTACCTGACCCTTGTACAGGATGTCTGAAACTGGACAGACAACGCAGGCCGTCCCTGAGCCAAACATCTCCTTCACTCTGTTCCCCTCCAGGGCAGTGGTCAGGTCATCCATGGTGAGGTATCTCTCACACACCTTAAACTCACCCTGTTTGGAATATCACAAGTGAAAAAGAAAAGGAAAGTCAGTACTTGTCTTTGGATCTGGCTGAACTTGATGGTGTCTTCACGGTCCTCTGCGGGAAGCAGAAAAGGACACACTGTGCAATTACTTTACAGGTTGAGTGGGAAGGACAACATATTGTGGGAAAGGCCACACTGTGCCATCGTGCAAAGAACTGAGCACCTACTTCCAAATGACACTTTTCTCAAATGAAGTCCTCAAGACGTTCACCACGGATTCCTGGCTCATTTTGACACACACCTGTTTCAAGACTTACATGTTATCGTGAATAAGGCCTCACACGCTGACTCGCTCTAAGTGCTACTGAATACATTTTCCACATCTTTTCTAATAAAGGAAACAGCATCATGCATCAGTACAAGGATAGCCGCTATTGGCCATCATGTACCAGAGACTTCAAGGCATCATCTCTACAGCTGAGGACATGTGGCTTCCAGAAAGCTGAGGGGCTTCCTTCAGACCCAACATGTAGTAACAGTAGTCACTAGACCTGATCTGATTGCCTTCAAAAAATGGCAAAAAAAAAAAAAAAATCATAAACTAAGTTCATATAGCTGCATCTCTTTTTGTTAGGAGCCAATATTTCGACTTCATGAGAAATTAAACCAAGGAGTGCTGTGCTTGTTCAAAGTTAAATAGATTACTAAACAATTTGTGTTCCAGAAAATCAGCAAACATTACTGAAAACAGTTGAGGTCTGTGGTATGGAGGAAAAAAAAAAAAAAAGGAAAATAACCCCTCTTGCAAATCGACAGAATTGCGCTCTGTTCCTTATCTCTGGACTAGTTTGCCTGTCTGGCAAGTCGGGCTGACCCAAGTGCCTCTTGGAATTTTTCTGTTTCAACATAGCTTTCAGATAAACTGCAGTTAAGGAGTCAGGAAAGACCCCTCCATAATAAGCTGCTTTCCAAGCTCAGGAACCAGAGGTGTGGGACACGCTCAGGCTCACACCTTGTTATCATGCCTTCTGTACTTGGTCGATTCGTTTCCTTAATAAAACAGAAATCACTGGGCTTCCAAAAGCCATGCTTCCAAGTGCAGACATATCTGGGACAGGGCAAGCTGCCTGGAATTAAACCAACAGTTTACAGACGTCACGCCCAATGCGCCAGCCAACAGGCAGCAGTTGGGTTTTGTCTACTCTGAATATGGTAGGATGATTTAAATCATTTCCTCCACTGTCAGTCTTTTCCAGAGAAACGGCTGGTCTGCTCGGAGATAATATGTGTGTCTAAACATTTGTCTACTAGGACTGCCTGGCCACAGGGTTCTCAAAGCCTTTTCATGGTCTCTGGGGACCTTTAGAGCATATGGGTCACAAGTACCAGCCAAGAACCCATGCCATCCCAGCCAACGCACTCCACATCTACCCGACAATGCTACATCATTTCAAATAACGAATGCCGTAACGCTCCTGCCTCTTCTGCGTGGATTTGAAAGTTTACCGAAAACAACTTCATATTTGCTCTGAGTGTTTTTAATTTTAAAATAAGCGTTTGTAGAAATCTAAGACGATGGGAAGCAGGGAGGCAGTTCAGGGAGAAAGATGTCAACATTGCGCTGATATTAATACATCAATGACAATCTGGCACACTGAAATAAATACAGGATGCGTCACTAATGCAATAAGGAATAACTTACAGTTGAAGGTAAGGGTGGGTGGAAATAACCAGAGTGGACCAGGTAGGCTAGTAAATAGTAGAGGACACCCTGTACACAGACTGAGGCTGGCTGGAAGCCCTCCTCACTAAGACAGCCTGTTCAGCTGGTTCTCTGTGAGCCCTACAAAAAAAAAAATACTTACTGGCTGGTTTTGCCAACACAGACCTTCTAGAAAGATCTTCTGCTCAAGGTAAGATCTGAAGATTAGATAACACTGGTGGGAAGCACAGGGTATGCTATCATTGCAAAGGGGGGCTCATCCTGATGATTCTGTGTTGGGCGTATGGAGGTTGTCGGGGTCAAGGGTACCCACCCACTGCTGTGCCAGCTCTAGGATGCTTTGCCTCGTCACTCCTGGGAGAATGATGCCATCTAGCGGAGGCGTCGCCAGCTCTTCCTCTGTTAATTAGAAACAGGCATGTTTGCAAAAAAAAAAAAAAAAAAAGTCTCACTCATTAGATATTGTCACAGCAAGAGCCATTTTTAAAGCCACTGCTCACAATGGGACTAAATAATAAACACGCAGGCAACTGATCCCACCCTCCTGAATCATTAGGTTCCTCAAATCTCTACTCACTTTTTGGCCACATACTTTAACATGAGAGCAAGAGAGACAGCTCAGCGGGTAAGAACAGGAATTGCCCTTGCCCAGCACCCACTTAAGAGGCTCACAACTGCTTGTATCTCCAGGGGACCTCGTCCTCTCTACCAGAATCCATGCACACACATACACATAATCAAGGATAAAACAAACTTTCTTAAATAAGCAAAAACAGAAAGGGTCCATCGAAGTCCCCGAGTTCAACCCTCTGGAAATCCCAGAAAGGTAGTCCACCATCTAATCGTCTACGTGCATCCTTAGGCAGTGAGACAATGAGGTGCTCTTTAAAGGTAGGAAATAGAGGCTGGGGCGGCAGCTCAGCAATTAGGGACAATCGCTGTGTTTGCAGAGAGAGAACCCAACAACCCAGGTGTCAACAACTGTCTGTAACTCTACTTCCCAGGAGTCTAACACCCTCTTCTGGCTGCCAAAGGCACCTGCCCACATGGAGAGAGTGTGTGCGCACACACACGCACGCACGCACGCACGCTCTCACGCACGAAGTTATTCCTCCTGGTGCTACCTGCCTGCACACTGCCTTCTAGAAGCCTACATCACCTGCCTCGCAAGCTACACGGGCATGAACGATGGAGGTTCAGACTTTCCCTCAGAGATCTGAATGCAATGGGCTCAGCGTGAGCTCAGGCGCCTGCACTGCAGCCTCGAGGGATGAATCGCTGGCCTTGCACACAAGACCAAGTGAGGCTGCACCACCAAGACAGGCACAGTGACCCGAGTGTGAGCAGTAGGCGGCCCTCCACTACACGAGCCCCTCTTACAAGTCACCTTGGTGGATGAGAAGGTAGGGTCCCTGCATGGCACATGTCAAGGCCTGGGTTTGAACCCTGCACCACATGAACTGGGTGTGGGTGATGGAGGGCTGTAATCCCAGCACAAGGGAGGTGGGGGCAGAACTGGGAAGCCAAGGTCACCGTTAGACGGGACTTGAGACTACTCGAAACCCTGCCTTAAAAAGCCAGCTTTGGCGGTCAACACCCCCTTTCCTCCTCACCCACCTCTGGCTTCTAGCAAGGTGGACCCACAAGGCCTTAGGTCACCCACCACCTTATGAAGATGAGAGAGAGCCTTACCGCAGACGGCTTTGTATTACCCGTCACCTGCTTGCAGAGGGATTCACAAATGCGCTTCCAGGGTCGACAGCATGGAACTAACCCACCTCAATCATTACTCTACAGGAGAAACCAATGTGCATTTTCCCAGGCTAGAGACAATGAGAAAAGGCCTTGGCCACACACCAGTGTCCTGCCTCTGGGACCCCTGCTCTGTGTCTCAGGGTGGAGTGGATCTAAGCTCTTCGGCGCCTTAGCGGTTACCAGCATAGAGGTCTGCCCATCTCTGTAGGCCACAACCCCTGAGTCATGCCTGGCCCAGTGTCGACTATAAGTTTGTTTTGATGTATATGGGTATTTCACCTACCTGTACACTTATGTATACATGCATGCAATACCCATGGAGGCCTGAAGAGGCGCAAGGCCCCCAGTTATGACCTGCCATGTCAGTGCTTCGAAAGAGCAGTGACCTGAACCACTGAGACACGCCCCAGGCCCTTATAGTAACTATTTTTTTAATTTTACGAGATGAATGAATGAATCACCTGCGCTAGGCTAGAGCAGTTTGATCTTGAGGAATTATTTATTTTCTGGCAATCGCTTTTTAGAAAGAAGAAATTGATTCTGGCAATGTTTCCCGAGGCTACGTGTCATTTTACAAGCGTTAGCTAGACACAGAAGTGTGAGTGAGTGTGTGTGTGTGTGTGTGTGTGCTTGTGCACGCACACAGGCGGTTTTCACACACACACAGCCCTTTCCTACAGTTAGCTCAACCCTAAGACAAACAGCAACCTTCACGTGTGCAAACGCTGTTGCATGAGACGAATTTAGCATCCAACTGTAACTACCAGCCTGAGGTCAAGAAGCAGAACATCTGTTCCCCTGGCTCCCAGACAGAGCAGATGACATGGCAACATTTGGGTGAGAGGTATTCATTTTCCTCTGACGGGAGCCAGAGGAGGGAAAACAGCCACACAGAGGCAGCATGCTACTCAGCGGACGCTGGCGTTGGTTACTGCCCTAAGTTCTGTGAGCCACAGTTTTCTCTCCCTCCTCACCCTCCAAGGAGAGACAGGCAAGGGCTGTGTTACATGGTGTTAGATCACACACCAGAGACTAAAGGGGCCCAAGGGAGAGGACGCTTTTTATTCTTTATTTGTGTGTGTGTGTATGTGTGTGTGTGAGTGTGTGTGTGTGTGAGAGTGTGAATGTGTGTGTGAGTGTGTGTGTGTGTGAGTGTGTATGTGTGTGAGTGTGTGAGAGTGTGAGTTTGAGTGTGTGTGAATGTGTGTGAGTGTGTGTGAGAGTGTGAATTGTGTGAGTGTGTGAGAGTGTGTATGTGTGAGTGTGTGTGAGTTTAAGTGTGTGAGTGTGTATGAATGTGTGTGAGTGTGTGTGTGTGAGTGTGTGTGAGAGTGTGTGTGAGTCTGAGTGAGTGTGTGAGTGTGTATGTGTGTGAGTGTGTGTGACAGTGTGAATGTGTGTGAGTGTGTGTATGTGTGTGAGTGTGTGTGAGAGTGTGAGTGTGTGTGTGTGAGTGTGTGTATGTGTGTGAGTGTGTGTGAGAGTGTGAATGTGTGTGTGTGAGTGTGTGTATGTGTGTGAGAGAGAGAGAGAGTGCCCGTGGCGCTCCTGGAGCTGGAATTACAGGCAGCTATGAGCTGCCAGACCCAGGTGCTGGGAACTGAATGTGGATTGTCTGGAAACGCCCGGCCACTCACCCTCACCCCTCACCCCTTTTCCCTGAGGGTGAACCCCCTAACCCAAGATGCACACAGAGACAAAAGCCAGCTTGGGCATATTACAGAATCTGACTCTTAATTATTAAGAGTCCATGTATTTTGCAAGAGGCAGAAGACAAAGCCACTCATTCCCACTCTGACCTTTACTCATAGGAATAATTAGTCACGAGGACAACTTCCGTAGCTACAATGCAGGTGGCGCGTAAGTCCTTGACACCTCCCATAAATCACGGCTTTGCCTTTTCTGAATGATCTCCCAGTTTGTACTTGTGGGTGGGGACGAGGACAGCAGTGGGCAGGGAGGAAGACATCTCCTCAGCACAGAGACTGGATACAGCCTCCTATGTGGCATCACTTCAGGGGTTTATGAGGAGTCCCAGTTTGAAGGCCCTCAAATTCCAGCATAAATTTTGTTTTCTTACATGTCCAAGTACAAACAGCAGAGGTAAATGTGTGCCTGACGTGTCTGGCTGAATCATATGCCCAGGGCCAGAGGAAACAGCCCGGCAGAGGCGGTCATGGCCACCTAACCCTTAGATGGAATGTAAGGCTCGCTTTGTACTAAATCGGTGCACAGCTCTGAAGTCAACCTCTTCTGGATCACCTCTTCCCTACAGCAGGGGTGAGTCGTGAGGGGGCTACAGCAGAGCAACAAGAGCCTTTAAAAGCGTTCGCTGCAGCCAAGGCAGGGAGCTTATACCCAGAAGTGTCATTTGATTCTGTGTGTGTGTCTGTGTGCATATACATGCATGTGGGTGTGTATATACATGCAGAAACCAGAGGACAGGGCTGAGTCTCTCCCTCTATCGCTCCCCACCTTATTTCTGAGTCAGGGTCTCTCACCGGTCACTGAGTTCCCAGGATCTGCCTGACTCCACATCCTAAGGTGGTGTGAGAGACTAACGGTCAGCCAAACCCTCACTCCATTTCACACTTTCCATGTCTATAATCACTTGCTGTGAAACAAGCAGACTATGAACAGGTCTAAAAATGTGCTCCTAAACTTCACATGCCAATCAAAACCCTAAGGCAGGTCAATCCACATCTATTTGGTTCCTTGCTTGGGGTTTAGCTCAACACCATATAAACTGTCAACATTTCACTGAGCCCAGATCACATCAAAGGCAGACACTGAGCGTTCGGGATGCTAGAGATAGCCCTAAGTGTCAAGCCACATATAGTGACACATGCTTATAATTACAGCATCCCACAGCCAGAGGCAGGAGGGTTCCTGTAACTTTGGGGTTGGCACAGACTACAGAGTGGAAGGAACCCTACCTCAAAACCAAACGAAACAAAACCTCAAGGTAGGTGTGCTATGACCCCCCCCCCACATTCAGGAAGTAGAGAATGGAGGATCAGAAGTTCAAAGCCGGCCTTGGCTGCATAGTGAATTCCAGGTTACCCTGGGCTATATACACAGGATCTTGTCATAAAAAAAAAGTAAATAAAATAAAATAAAAGTACTGAATTTCTGTGATTTACGTGTAGTTAGCCAGCAGGAGTCAAGGAACACAGATCTACTGGCAACCTCGGGATGTGCACTGGGTTATATTTAAGCGTGCACTTTGTTTTGCGTGGGACTCATGGACACATGAATGCCAGGGATGCAGGTGGCGGTGGAGGACAAGCTGGCTGGGGATGGGCTCTCTCTTCCCACCTTGTGAGTGTTGGACTCAGGTCATCAGCCTTGGCAGCAGCCCTAAGATAATCAAATGGAAATGCAAAGAAGACCTAACAGGGCTTCTGAGATGTCATCAAAATGTGTAGAAAAGACACCAATTGTGAAGCAAACCCTAGTGAGAGAGAGGGATGGGGCAGTGGTGGAGGCCTGATAACAGGTCACAGGATCCCAGTCCAGCCTGAAAGCTCCTGTGCAGCAGGCTCAGACAAGACGGCAAGCTGCGTTATAAAGCTAGCCCACACCGCTACAAAGAGCCTCAGAATAAACAGTAAGATGGGGCCATGAGTATGGTTCTAGGGAGAGTCTGCCTAGCATGTAGGAGATCGATTCCCAGTTCTAAAAAAAAGAAAGAGGGATACACTAACCCCCCCCATAGTCAATAGAGGCTTTACTAGCTCATACTACATGGTATAGATTAACAACCGACCACTGAATCAACCAACACTCATCACTAAAGACAGAGCATCGTAACACTAGGAGAGGGCAAAGAGAAGGGAAAAAATATCTTTTTAAGAAATTAAAAAAGTTTATGTTATGGATGCCCAGGGAGGCCGGAAGAGGGCATTGGATCACCTGAACCTAGAGCAATAGACAGTTGTGAGCCACCATGTGGTTGCTCAGAACCAAGCCCAGGCCCTCTGTGAGGGAAGCCACTGCATGCTGAGCCAATTCTCCAGCAGCTGAGTTTCAAGCCACAGTCTCAAACCAACCAGCAAAAAAAAAAGGATATGAAATCAAGCCTGACACAGGCTCCACAGTACCCTGACCCTGTCACAGAAGAGCAATTACCTCCATCTTCGTTTATCCAGTAGAGGAACAGATTCATCGTGCCCACTTCCGTTATCTGGTCGTCCTTGCCATACAGCCAGAGGACCTGTTGACAGCCATTCTCCATGGCCTCGCACTGTGCCAAAAGGGACGCACCATAATTGCTAGGGAGGAAAAGAAAACCAGCCGATGACAAACATGTGTCACCCATGCATGCATTCCACTGCAACAGTCTCAAGTTTTTACTCGTGTGTGTGTGTGTGTGTGTGTGTGTGTGTGTGTGTGTGTGTGCACGCGCGTGCACACGCGTGCATTGCTCCATTTGTCTCAGAATGCCTCAGGCACTAGAGGTTTGGAAAGTGAAGTCCTCAACTCTTTAATGCTTAAATGGTCCCTCTCTCTCTCTGACATGTAAAGATCATGCCAGCATATGTTGACACATGAAATGATCAGATAACGTACTCACGCTTTTAGCTTTGACACAATTTAATGCAGGTGGAACCTTGTAATGCCCCACCCAGGGATGTCCACACCCTAATCCTCAGAACCCGTGACTACGTCAGCTCTCTTATGTCCAGACACTGTGGAGATGGGATTAATGTCTTCATGCACCGCCATGATGGTGGCCCAGGGACAAACATGGACTGGGGGAGACACAGTTCCCCACAGAAAGGCTGGGAACAGCTTACAGTGGAAAAGTGGCTGAGTAACTGTGAAACCCATGACATGAAATAGATTACAGGAAACCTGAAGTCAGCAACACGGACAGGTGAGACCCTAGACGGCGTGAGAATTGTACGCATAATGGTGGCACAAAGGATGGCAGGAAAACCGTAACACTCTGTCCTATAAGGAGACATTTGTGCTCCATGTTGAGAATCTAGACACACACTAACAGCTTCACACATGCATGCTGTCCTGTTAGCCTGTCTACCATCTCCCGGGTCTCTGCTATTCACATTTCAAGAGCAGACTGAGCCCAAGTATCGAAAGCATGAAGGAAGAGGGTAAGATTAACAAGAGCGGCAAGGAGGCTAGAGAGACGGCCCGGTGCTTGAGAGCACTTTCTTCTCCTACAAAGGACCCGGGTTCAGTTCCCAGCACCCGGGTGGCCAGTCACCATCACCTAGGAGTTCGGGGGGATCCAAGGCCCTCTTCAGGCCTCCACGGACACTCCGCAAGAACATGGTTCACAGACTTTCATGCAGGCAAAATGCTCACACACATAAAATAAAATAAATTTGACAACAGGAGAGGCAAGGACACCACAGGCCTCAGAAAACTGCCCTGGCACCTGGCTGAGCTCTCTCTGGGGATGGGCTGCTTCGTGCCTGACTCTATCCCCACCCCATAACGCTTGCTGGATGCAGAGGAGACAAGACCCTGAGATGTCATTCCCCCGTCTTCTCAGACCACACACTGTCTTAATTAGCCCTTCATTCTGGCCCCTGCCTCTGCTCGCTGGCACGTAAATGGAAGACACCGTGAACGCTGATATCCCAGTAACACAAATATATACTCTCCACATGTGTCTATTTACCTGTGTGTGCATGTGTGTGTGCACGCGTGCGTGTGCGAGCTGTGTGTTGTGTGCAGGTGCCTACAAAGGCCAAAAGATCCCAGGGAGCTGGAGTTAGAGGTTGCTGTAAGCCCCCTGACATACAGAGAGAATCTAACTGAGGTTCTCTAGAGGAGCAGCCAATGCTCTTCCGCTGAGCCGTCTCTCCAGCCCCCATTTTCTTTTTTAAAGCAATTCTAAGTCTTTTGTTCCTCTGTAGCAGATACTACTCAAGTTAGATGTAGCAATGTTACACACGCAAAGCCTGGAGTGATAGACCTGAAGAACCGAAGGTCCAGAGCCCACTGTTGCCAGAGCAACAGTGAGTTGCAATTGAAATTCTAGGTGCCAGCCCACCGGAAGGGAATCCTCTGATGGGCCAGCCTCTTTTGGGCAAAGCCATGGGACTGCAGACCCCAGAATGTCTGCTCCTTCTGACATGCCTTTACATGTTTGCTACCGCTCTCTTTCCCTGGTATCTAATGGTGTGAGTGGACATGGAGAGATCTCCACGGCCTGTTATACCCTGTGTTAACCTCTTGGAAACATCCCATTCTGCTGGGCATTTTTATCTGTGGATTGTCAAGAAGATGATCCCTCCCTAAGCTGTACTGTCTAAACTGATAATAACAATAATGCTAGCCTATCCAGAGTTTTGATGAATAAAAATAAATACAAGTATATGTTTCACAGCTAAGGCCTCTGAGTTCCACCTTAGGAGCAGCTCAGGTTAATAGTTAAAAGGAAATCACCTGAGTTAGAAGGCAGGCTGGCTCTAGTTCTCTTAATGCTGAAAAGAGGCAGTCACGTACCAGCAACTAAAAGCAAAGCTTCAAAATAACTTCAGGCCAGGCCAGATGCCTTACTAATATTTTCAGATAAATTCCCCAGAAAACAAGCTAAAGTTCACAAGGACACTTAGCTGGGCTGTCGACTCATTAGGCTAGGGTGAAAAATACAAAATGACCCGATTGCTGCTCGTTCCCCTTGCTAGTTCTGGTTGATGACCAAAGGTGAGGATTACTTCCTTATAGCCATTTCTGCCTTCAATCTCCTGACGCAAAAAAAAAAAAAAAAAAAAAAAAAAACCTATTGATAAGTAGGTATGTAGCCTAATGATTTAAAGTAGAGCTGACTAATTCTTTTTCATATGTAAAAGTTTAGGTTTGTGATTCCTTTAAGATTACCTTTCAAGATAAATAAAAGTAATTGGCCCTTTCTTTCTTTGTTAACTGCAAAATGCAGCCTAACGGTAAAAGACAAGAACGGCTTGCTTGCCCACACGGTTAATCTATAACAAGTTGCTTGGGTATGAATGTACGTGGGTTCTTGGGGTGATTTGCTTTTCACCTGTAGTACTTAAAATGTTTAATCAGGTAAGGGATATGGAAAACACGCTGGTTTTTTACTGCTTGTTTTGTATTCATCGTAATCATTCACTTAAAAAACAGAATGTAGCCACACTGCAATTCCTATATTGCCTAAAATAATGTTGCTGGGATATATATAAACTATAGAGGAAAATATAAATATATATATGCAGAAAGAAAAGAACATAGAACACAAGAGAACAGAGAATAAACAAGGAAGCCACCCAGGGAGTGTGAGAGTTTTCCTTTTCCTGTAACTCCTCAGATACAAAAGTCTAGCTTATAACCAACTCCGTTGGATTCCTTTCAAAGCCCCGTGCTGCTGGAAGCTGGCCTCCCCAGACAGCAGTGCTACAGTTGTTGTGGAACAGAATCTTTATTTGTTTAAGTATGCAAAGATGTGTTGCGTTTGTTTTATCTTACCTGCCTAAGGCACCTGACCGGTCTCATAAAAAGCTGAATGGCAATAAAGGGATAGACAGGGTTGGCAGGCAGAAAGAATAAGTAGTAAGAGGGATCTGGGCTTCAGAGAATCAGGGAGAAAGAGAGGGAGATGCCAGGGGCCAGTCAGACAGGCCACAGCAGACAGACATACAGGAAGCTGAAAAGGAGGATATACAGAAGAAAGGGAAAAAGCCCCAAGGCAAAACACAGTGAAGAGAAGACGGTTAAATTAAGTCATGAGCTACCTAGAAACGAGCATAAGCAGTCACAACTAATAAAAAGACTCCATGTCATGATTTGGGGGCTGGTGGTCCAAGAAAGCCTGCTACCTATAGTTTTCTAGAGAGGCCATCTTCTAGATATGCTCTGAGGTAGGACAGGTTGTCACTGTGGGTGGAGAGCACCTGGGGCTTGCGGGACACCTTTCATACCCAGCTGCCGTCATCTTCCACGTCTCAGAGGCCTGTCACTGGGCTCTGACATTCCATCATTGAAAGTCACTTCCCGGGAGCGTCTCTGCCCTGGCTGTGACACGTAAGTCACAGCTGATTCACTCCTGGGAAGAGCGCAGCATGCTTTCTCCTATTCTACACAGAGGGGCATTCTGAATCCAGGGCCAAGTACACCCTGATTCGGGACAGCACATCTCAAATGCTCTTTCTTTCATTTCTTGCCAGCCACACATGGTCTGTGAGACTGGCCAGGCATCACCAAAGCTGGGCTTTCCTCCTCCCCTTCAGGCAGGTGTGCCTGGCATCCACGGCAGCTGAGAGCCCAGGAGCAGCCTGCAGCTGGAGAGGAGCAGCGCTCAGGGACACCGGTTCAAAGCCCTATCCCCCTCTCAAGTCGCCACTGCTACCACAAGGGGCCACAGGTAACACCAACAACTAGCACAGTTACAAAGCCAGATCTTAACCCACAAACAGCCACTCCCCTTTTGCACACTGCTCTGCACACCACCACTGAAGGCATGCACCCATCACCGATCAGGACGGGCACCCAGACTGACTTACCCGCCCATCTTGCAGTCCCCCGTTCCACCTTTCCAGGCTCTGACATATTTCGGATTGGCCCACAGCGACACTGGCTTAAAGGTTCCGCTAGAAAAATAAGGCCCCACAGGGCTCAGGACCACAAAGAGCAGGGCCCTGGAAGGCTTCTTGACTCCAAGAGACGGCTGTAATGAAGAGAAAGCCACCGCTGTAACTGGCAACGGAACATGGTTTTTTTAAGTATAGAACAGAGCCGTGTCCTTCTTCCAAAGTCTAGTAACACAAAGTCTTTTAAAGGAAACTCGGGCAGTGGGTATTTAAGTTTGGGGTGGGAAGGGCAGGACAGGACAAGATGGCCCGACGGGTAAGGGCACTCACTGCCAAGCCTGAAAACTCAACAAACTTGAATCTGGCCCCTGAACATCACACGGTGGAAAAAAAAGAAGTGGCATCTATGTGCTGTCCCCTGACCTCCACATTCATGCCATGGCATGCGCATCCCCCCACCCCCACCCTGAACGCACATAAAATAAACAACTGTAATTTTAAAACTTTTTGGTTTGCTTGCTGAGCTATGATTTCAGAGAAAAGCCTGCGTGTGTCCGCGGCAGTTGCTGCCATTGCTGATAGCATGAGTGAGGGAGGGGCCTGTCCCTAACCCTTCTCCCAGTCTGCCAGGCGCCCAGGAACACGTGACGAAGTGAGCAGAGAGCAGACATGGGAAGGAGGCTGCGGCCGTGCCTGCCCATGAGCGCGGCTGGAGGGGTAGCCTTTCTAGAGACAACAGACAGGAGGAAGAGCATCAGAGGCCAGACGGTGACTCGGACCTCACATCATGAATGGTGCGGCAGGTAACAGCCCCGGCTGCCCTCGTAGGGGACCCAGGTTCAGTTCCCAGCACCCACATGGAGGCTCACAGCTGTGCACAACTCATCCACTGCCGTCTGCTGGCCTCCACAGGTGCTGCGCGCACACAGTATACATACAAACATGTAGCGGGCTTACCGGCCAGCTAGCCTGGAGCGGGCAACACAGCAGAGACTCCCTGCACCCCCCCACAAGGTAAAATGAGAGAGCAGCTTCAGAGGGCTGACCTGTAGCCTGCACACCTGTATGACTGTGCCAGGATGCACGCACGCACACATACACACACGCACACGCATGCACACGTGCACACACACGCACAGCTTGTGTAGGTAACTATGTCACCTAAAAGCTCCCACCTCCCTCCTTCAGGAAGGCGAGCAGGGCTCTGAGTCCCTGGAACAAACTGACAATGAACTGTGACACTGAGGTGGAGACAGTAAGAGCTTTGCCTCTGGGTTGATTTGGGTTTGATTTTGCTGTTGTTTTCTTTCTTTTTTTTTTTTTTTTTTTTTTTTTTTTTACTTGTGGGGGGAGCAGTCTCTCTACATAGCCCTGGCTGTCCTGGAACTCACCATACAAACAAGGCTGGCCTTGAACTCACAAAGATGCACTACCTCTGCCTCCTGAGCGCTGGGATTAAAGGTGTGTGCTGCTGAACCCAGCTAGTGCTTGCTCTTTAATAGGAACCTGCTCAGAAAATGAGTCTCCCCTCCCCCCAATACAGGGTGAAGAGGTTGAAAGCTCCATCTGGGAGGGGGCCTGTGCTCGGACAGACACGGTTCCCTCCCAGCTCTCTGCTGGATCTCTGTGGCCTTGAAGCTGCAGTTGGGATGTTTCCACTGTGCCAGAAGCAAAGGATCAGGGAGGGCAGTTACCACACAACCACCAGGGGGCGCTGGCTTCAAAACAATGCTCTCCTAGAAACTGGTAGGGAGAAATACCCTAAAAAGCAGAAAGCCCACCCACCATAACCCAGAAGGAAAAGGGGCACCTGACCCGATACACACCACCCACCCACCCCCCTTATAAATGCCCATAAAAACGCCTGGAAAAACCCGCACAGCTAGCCGGAAAGCCAAGTGATGAGAGAGGGATGAGAGATACTGGGAGAGCAAATGGGCCCACAATCGTTACAATCCTCAGTGACAATGGCACGGCCCGTTTGATAAAATGTCAACACCCACAGCCCAGAAGCCACTGCGCCTCCCCTCCCACTCCTGGTAACTAACGGGTCAGCCCGTTCCAGGTTCTCCGTGGAACGCGTGCCCTGCTTTGCTGGATGAGCTTTGTCTCCGAATTCTTTCCCCGGAGGGTAAGAACCAGCCTGGCACTCTCTCATGGTTCACACCCTTACTGGCTTCCTCACCTTAGTGGTTGGAGACGTGATCTCAGACTCCCTGCGAGCCTCCCCAGCCGCTAAGGACGCTCTCCCTCTGTAATCACAGGCCCAAATAAACCCTCCTTCTCTTAGCTGCCTTGCTCACTGTATTTTATCCCAACAGAAAAGCAGCCAATACAAATGATAAGGAAATCCAGAGAAGCCACTCAGAGTAAATTGCAGATGCAATATGCTAACTGCTACCCAAAGAGTACATCTAGCTTCTAAGTTCCAAATGAATTGTCTTTCTGACGTACAACCTAATAGCACTTTGTTACCTACCACATGAAATCTGGGACACCTCACTATGTCTAATACACGACATCGCAATTTGCATTACACACAAAAAAAGAGAGAGAGAAGAAGAAATAGCAATGACCTAATACAGTTTTTGGGTGTTTTGTTTTTGTTTGTTTGGTTGGTTTTTTTGTTTTTTTTCTGTATTGAATTTTACCTAGTTCCGGCTGAGGAGGTAGCTCTGTGGCGGAGCACACAACACCCTCTAGATTTCAACTGCAGTACCAAAGCAAAGGTGAATTTCCCTTTGTAAATGTGGTTCGTTTGCATTTGCTCCACCAGGTGGAGGCAGAGAGCAGAGAAGGAGGAAGGCAGTACCTCCATCAAATCTGCCTCCAGAAAAAGCATCTAGATGAATCATTCCATCCATATCTGTATCGTTAGCAACAACTAAGTTATACGTCAGCAGTTTTCAACGTGGGCCAAAAGCTGTGTGTCAGAAAGTAACTTTGTATCTTCTAAAACTTAAGCCTGCTCTGCTCACACCTGCAAAGTTCCTCTGTGGACCACAGTTTCATTCATCCTTTCCATGAAAAGAAAGCATTCCGGGAGGTGGGGAGGGGGTGGCACCTGTTGCTCTTGCAGAGGACCCAGGTTCAGTACCCAGCACCCATGAGGAGGCTCCCAACAGGCTGTAATCCCAATTCCAGAGATCCAATGCCCTCTCCTGGCTTCATATGGGCACAGTACCCATGTACACAAATAGACAGAAGACAAAATGCTCATAGATATAAAATAAAGTAACTAAATCTTCCAAGCGCTCGCTGGCTCTCCTGGAGGAGCAGGTAGGGAACCCCACTTCAGTAATGAGCATAAGTCAATGTCACTCTAGGTTCTGCTGAGAAGCTTGTTTCTCACCTAAAGAGCAATTGAGCCCCTGGGCTCCTAAAGAGCAATTGAGCCCCTGGGCTCCTGCTGGGAGACCTTTATTATGTGCTGTCAATCCTCGGATGACAGCCACAGAATCCTGGGATGATAAAGTTGTGTTTCTGATTAAAGCAAAAAGCCACACAACACATGGGAAATAAGGATGCCAACAGCTGATGTGAGCCTCAAGCAACAACCTGACCCTCAGGGACATTTTAGGGTGTTTTGTTTTGGATTTGGGGGACAGGGTGTCACTATGCTGCTGCCCAGGCTGGCCTCAAACTCAGAGCAATCCTCCTGCTTCGGCTTCCCAAGGACTGTGGTTACAGGTACATACCACCACCACACCTAGCTCCTCCTTGGGGTGGGGTGATTCTGGGGAGATGTTGGGAGTTTTACATAAACACTGGGTAAGTACAGGGACAGCAGTAGCAGAGCTACACCCCGGCTCAGGAGCAATGCTAGATTTTCAGATAATCTGAATAGATGAAGAATGGAAAAGGCTGGAGCATACTGGGTATAAAATACGGCTTCAAGAGAACACACAGAAGCTGGAACGCTAACGTCTATGTACTCATATGTGTATCTGTACACACGGGGAGACAGAGAGACAGAGACAGAGAGACAGAGACAGGGAGAGATCTTTCACTTCCTAAGCCAAAGCTTCACAACAGTCAAACTCCTTTGTACTCTGCTTAGGGCAACGGCACTTAGGTGTGACGAGAAACAAAGCCTACTTCACAGTGAGAATTATGGCTCCTTTCTGGGTCACCCAGAATCCCTTCACAGAAAGATGACAGCAGAAAAGATTCAGTGAGCTGAGAAATTCCATTAGAAACCAGTGGCCTCAGAGGCAGAGAGCGAAGCCGATGGGCTGAGCTGGGGGTGGGGGGCGGCAGTGGCCCTGAGCTGTAGGACAGACAGTTCCAACCAGCAAAGCAAACAGAAACTAAGTCTAAGGCAGCCGGGACCAGAGGGGCCAGCACCTGTCAACACGATCACTGTTTCTCACCAATCAAAGACTCCTTTTTTAAAGGGTTCAGGGTTAAAGGAGAAACAGGAGTCAGGCGCCATGACACATTCCTGTCATCTCCGCACCTAGGAGGCTGAAGCAGGAGGATCAAGAGGTCACGGCCAAGAGTTTGGGGCTGCATAGACCTTTTGTTAAAAAAAGAACTTAGGGCTGGAGAGACTCCATGCAGTTAGAGAGACTGCTGCTCTTAGTACCCAAGGCTCATATAACTGCAGCTCCCAGGGATGCAGAGCAACTGCACATACACCAACACGTGTACATACACACACACACAGAGAGAGAGAGAGAGAGAGGGACAGAGAGAGACAGAGAGAGGGGGATTAAAAATAAAGGAAATGGTAAGAATCTGTAAATGAGGGGTGCTGTTAGTCCCCTCTTCTGGACTCCTCAGACCCCAGTCATCCATCCATGCATGCAGACCAAACACTCCATGCAAACATCAGCACAGTATCCACAGCCTTCTCTGTATGCACACTCCGCTGCTTGGCTCCTCCCTGCAGCCCTCACACTCTCGGTATCAAATGCTCATTCACTTTCTCCTCCCTCTCTTCCTTCCACATCCTCTCCCGCCTTCCCCATCCCTACCAGAAACATCCCCAAACCCATGCTGAAGCCTGACTCCCGACATTAATAATTTATCAGTGCTGGGACAATACACGCGAATGGCTCGCACTTTGGGCACACCTCCACTGTGGTGGGGAAGGAATGGTCAGGGAGCGTGAAGCATCTGGTGACACTGTCCT